CACGTGTGTACTATATATTGTGTTATATCAGGTGTGTAGGGTTCATCCATCCAAACAGCAGGCAGTGCCTATCGACGTGTAGCAGTTACTCGTTTGCCGTGGAAGGAGAGCTAGTCGGTAGAATTTGCCACGGTATGTTCGCCAATTTGTTCTTTTTTATGCAATTAATATACTATCAGGAGTGAATAATAATAGATTTTTATTTTTATTTTTATTATTATTAATTATAATTACTATTTATTAGATCTAATATTATTCACTCCTGATAATACTCATTATAATTTAGTAAGATTTCAAATCATATTCAATTTTATTTCAATTTATTTTTAATAGTTTTTCCATAACAATACGCAGTTTATTACGTACGTCATGAATGATAAATTTAATAAATAATACGAAGTAAAAATGGTTTTGTAAGTACGTAGCCGTAGCTTTCGTAATGACTACTACTATTACGTAGATAACTATAAACGACATGCTCATTTCGTTAGCTGCACGATGCAATCATGGGGCTGTCAGAAAATTTAAATCCAGTAAAAAAACGTACTCAAAGTTGATAACTCATTTACCTCATGGAGATGTTCGTAATTTACGAAGCGTAACTCAATCAAGTTCAGCTCGCTAGTTGCGCGCGACGTACGAATGTTGAGTGAGTGTGCGACTTTCGCTTTCATCGCGAATCGTTGAATTTCCTCGTGCAGACGTCGAGCCACCGGCGAGGCTGTCACAGGTGGGCGTCGCTGTCACTGCCGGAATATGCGGTGGCATTGCTCTCGGTATCATCATCGGACTTGCCATCTTCTTCTACCTCAGGAATCTGAAAATAAGCAGGTAGGAGCTCGTCGGCGAAGGTAGACACCAGCTGCCATGACACCTGTTTGCAACGCAAGTGCCCATTACCGTTAGTTAGCGACTTTGTCGCCGCGAAACTCGACGTTGACCCTGAATACGACAGCTGTCACCATGTTACTGTGGTTGACAGAGTGTATTCATGACGCACATGATGCAGGAAGCGGGGCGCTGCTTGGGTGGTGAGGTGCGCTAAGCGCGGGTCATGGCATTAGGAAAGTGCGTTAGCCTTGCACTTTCACGCTTTGCTTTCGAGAGCCACTATGTTCGTTCTTTATACATGCATCTCGGGGTGCAAGAAAGTCGACTAGGGTTGAGTGATAGACACGTGGCGTAGCACAAACGCGTGGCAAGGAAATAGCATAGGAGAAAGTAAGTCTGTGCGTGCGCGCGTGCTGCCCGCGTGTATGCGTGTGTGCGTGCGCATGTGTGTATGTACGTGCGCGTGTGTGTATGAGTGTGTGCGTGCGTGTGCGTGCGTGTGCGTGTATGT